TCAAACAGAAACAGAGAAGCTAAGGGTCCCTTTTAGTGAGACTGGAGAGGGAGGGAGAGGGCGAAAGAAAGACCTGCCGGGTCACACCATGACCTCCTTCCATGTCCGCCACAGGCCGCCCCAAGGACATATGTTATCTAAAACCTCAACCTCACAACCCGCTGAAGTGGGAAACCAGGCCTGGAAGAGTTAAAGGAATGTGAAGACAGAACTCCTAAACCCCAGCTCCCAGGGGAAGGCTTAGCTAAGAAACAGGAAGCAGACAGGGAGGGCAAACCCTGGGACCCCTCTGCCCCACATGAGGAAAGGCCTGAGACGCCAACCCCCATGGCAGAACCTCCTGCCCAGAGAACTGAGGAGGACAGAAACGGCAGGTGCCAGTCCCTTCTTAGACCAGCAGGCAGTCATGTAGCCCAGTCACCAAGACATAAGACAGGCCCATGGGAGCAACTGTTCCTCCTGCGGGGCCACCACAAGCCCCCCAGCTCCCCAGCACTCCAGGCCAGCAGGGGCCTCCAGGAAAGTGAGCTCAGCATACAATGCCTAGAGCCGAGGCCCTGAGGCCCTGCTGCCCGGAACTGAGGAGCGGCCAAACCTCAGCGGTGCCAGACTGAGGCACCAGGGACAGAACCCTGGGAGAGTGAGTGCACTGGCTCAGGCAGCTTCCTGGGCCAAGCCCATAGGCCTGAGTGGAAACTGGAATGCTGAGAGAACGCTCCCCAAGGGTCGATGACGTTCCCAGCACTTGGGGACATGGCGGCGATCCTGGCACAAGCTCAGCATGCTCGCACTGTGGGAAGAAGCTGCACGGGGCCCCGGGAGCGGCCGCTGACCCGTGGGCTCCCCAGATGGACGTTGCTGGGAGGACAACACGATGGCCCACAGGGGGACACAGTCTTCTCTGTCCTCCATGGCAGATTCCAGAGGTTCATCCAGGATCCACTGGGGGATGGGGAGGGAGCCAGCACAGTACTTTTCCACAAGCTCCTCTGGAGCCCAGGCATGCTGCTCCCCGGGCCTAGCCACCCACCATTCTAAGAACTTAGGTTCCACTTCAAAAAAAAAGGCCTGAAACCTTTTTTTTTAACAATTTCCCATGAGAACCGGGGAGAGTCAGAAAAGAACTATCTGTATTAGCAGAGACACCCCTTTTCATTGGGAGACCATGAGCCCCCCGGGCCCCTGCACTCAGTCACAGAGACCCATCTGAAAATCCTCCCAGCAGCCTGGACACTGGCCACAGGGCATGCACTTTGTAGACAATCCCGCCGAAGGCAACTCCCTCCGCCAGCTCCCTCCGAAGGTGCGTGGCTGCCAAGCCCTGCTGTCGAACCCAGCTCCACTAAGAGTGGAGCCCGCATTCCCAGCTTCCCAGGCCCTCTTCCCGCTGCCAGCTCCTCCAAAGGCTAAGGAACCAGTTCCAGGTCACTCCCCAATGCTCAACTGGGCAGGCCTGAGACCAACTCCTTGCCAGGTGCTGGAGGGCCAAGCAATACTGCGGGTGACTGTGCCGGCAGCCGCGTGTTACGGACTAGCAGAAGCCCGGCCCTCAAAGGAGAGCTGAAGGAAACACACAAAGGCTCTCTTCTCTTCCCTCTTGCTTTCCAGCTTTCTTTTAATCAACTTGTATTTTAATAATGAAAAACACTCACATACTTTAAAAAAATTACTTCAACTTAAACAAAAGGACAGACACCACTCCCTCACTTGGGTGCGAGTTTTAACATCTGCCCAGTCACCATAAGCCAAACCATCTTGCGGGTCCTGCCAGTGACCAGTGGCCTGCGTGGGGATCAGGCAGGAGGAGGGTACACCAAGAAGGGAGGCCCAGAAGTCTCACAACTCAACTCAAAGTCCAGGATGACGCTGTGCCCACCAAAATCACATGTGCCTGAGGCTCTGAGGTGCTGCAGAATCGGAACTGGGTTGAATCACAGAACAAGAGGTCAAAAGCTCTCGGGAAACCAGCATCCATCTGGAACCCAGAAACCAAAAAGAACCTAAAAGCACCCGCATCACTGGGCTTCAAGTTGTGAAGAAGGCATGAGGAAGAGGCAGTCGGACTGGGAGATAGGAATTCAACAGCCTGAGGAGCAGGATCCAAAATTCAGAGCGAGGCTGGGGTGGAACGCTGGGCTACCTCCTCACCGCTGCACAGGAGCCGCGGGATGTCTGTACCTGCCAGGCCTCCGCCTCCGGGTAGCCTTTTGGTATCCCACTAAAGAGAGCCTAGGACAAGCTGTATGGCTGTGCTGGGGGTGCTGTCTGGCTTCCCTCGCCCCTTGGGGGATGGCAGCCAAGAGATGACCCTCCGAGACACGGCCAGGACCTCCTCCAGGCCCACACCCCTGTTTTCTCCCCTCTACCCACGGCTGCTGAGCCGCCTGCAGCCGTAGATGTGGACGTGATTTCACATCAACTTCCAAGAGCTCAGTGCTGCCTCACTGGACAGGATCTCAGAGTGATCTGGGCTACACCCATCAACCAGGCACATCCACTGTCCCACGCATCCGTGGCCAGGTGGCCTTGGGGCCCCTCCAAGCACCAGCTGTGCCTGCCTCCTGCTGGAAGCCACTTTGAAGAAGGGCCAACGTAGACTCACCCTTTCCACCCCGCTCTGCACAGCAGCCCTTTTCTTATTCAATGAAAAACAAGGCCCCTGCCACCCCACATCTCATGATGGCATACTGCTCCAGGCACGAGACCTCTGGCAGGAAACAATGGCAGAGCTTGAACCCTGGCGTCACCCTGGGGAAGTGAACAAATGAAAAACAGGGCCCCTGCCACCCCACATCTCATGATGGCATACTGCCCCGGGCACAGGACCTCCAGCACTAAACAGCAGCAGAGTTTGAACCCCGGCATTACCCTGGGGAAGTGAACAAATGTAGCAAGCCAGCGCCATGCCCTAGCACAAGTCAGGTGGCTTCCAACTCTTCCAGAAACTCAGGGACCCAGTCCAGCTGTCACTTACTGATAGATCTTTAAAAATAAATTTTGAAAATAAGTGCCCCAAATCACAGAATGGTCTTAGTTTACTGCAACAAAACTCTCACTCCCGTTTACATATCTGTGTTAACAAAGGCACTCAGCACCTAAATCTGACCTGAGAACAGGAACAATGGCCACGGAAACCAGGTCGCTCTTGGGCAATGACAGCCCGATCCACAGGTGCATGGGCCAACTGCAGCGACAAGGAAGGCCCTGCCCTCCTGTGGGGTGATGACACAGTGTCACAATGCCCTGACCATCGACACGCCTCGTCGATTTCACTTTATGTAGAATAACCTGTGAAAATTCCTAATCTATGATGTTGTTTTGATCAAGTGTATACTACTAACGGTAAACACAGCTCAATGCAGAAGAAAAATTTAACACTCAGAACTTGGTGGGTAACAAAAATTTTTTATATTTTCTAATTTAATCATATAAATCTTTTTGTGGAGGACAAACATGATGCAGTAAGTAATGAAATACTTTCGAACATAAAAATGCAGCCCAGGTGCGGTGGCTGACCCCGGTAATTCCAGTGTGTTGGGAGGCCAAGGAGGGAGGATCACTTGAGGTCAGGAATTCAAGACCAGCCTGGCCAACATGGTGAAACCTCAACTCTATCAAAAATACAAAAAATTCGGCCAAGCGCAGTGGCTCACGCCTGTAATCCCAGCACTTTGGGTGGCCAAGGCAGATGGATCACAAGGTCAGGAGTTTAAGACCAGCTTGGTCAAGATGGTGAAACCCAGTCTCTATTTTGTAAAATACAAAATGTATCTATTTTGTAAAAATATTAAAAAAATAATCTGGGTGCAGTGGCAGGCACCTGTAATCCCAGCTACTTGGGAGGCTGAGGCAGGAGAATCGCTTGAACCCGGGCAGTAGAGGTTGCAGTGAGCCAAGGTCCCACCACTTCACTCCAGCCTGGGCAACAGAGTGAAACTCTGTCTTAAAAAAAAAAAAAAAAATACAAAAAATTAGTTAGGTGTGGTGGCATGCGCCTGTAATACCAGCTACTTGGGGGACTGAGGCAAGAGAATCGCTTGAACCTGGGTGGCACAGGTGGCAGTGAGCTGAGATAGCACCACTGCACTCCAGCCTGGGCGACAGAGTGAGACTCCACCTCAGAAAATAAATAAATAAATGCAGGCCAGTTGCAGTGGCTCACACCTGTAATTCCAGCTTGTTGGGAGGCTGAGGTGGGAGGATCACTTGAGGCTGGGGGTTCAAGACCATCGTGGCCAACATGGTGAAACCCCGTCTCTATCAAAAATACAAAATATTAGTCAGGTTTGGTGGCGTGCACCTGTAATCCTGGCTACTTTGGGGGCTGAGACAGGAGAATCACTTGAACCCAGGAGATGGAGGCTGCACTGAGCCAAGATCGAGCCACTGCACTCCAGCCTGGCCAACAGAGACTGTGTTTCAAAAAAACAAGGAATAAAAATGCATAACTTTAGGAAAAGATTGTTCCTGTATTTTTTTCAAGTGAATGGTGGTGGATACTCAAATCTCAATGTTAGAATCCACTGCACGCAGTTTAAAAAGTGATGCTAACAGGTGATTTTCAAACTCACAATTATTGTGTTATTAGATATGAATGTTTCTAGATGTGCGTTTTTCAACACAGGCTTCCAGGCCACACCCCTGCACCCATACCGGTAAGGAGCTGCCACCTGCCCCTTCCCAGGGCACAAACAAACGCCTGCTGCAGGCTCTTCCCCATCCTGCACACCGCCACCAAGTCCGCTATACAACATGGCACCCAAAACAGCAGTTTCCTGGCAGCTAAGAAAGGCAGTCATGGGGTTCCAACCCAAAATTCGCTAAAATTCTTCTTTGTCCTACAATTGCTTCTGGAAGGCACCAAGTCCATCCATGGCTCCACACCTGTTCCAGCCTCCGCTCCACAGAAAGACCAGAAGGCAGAGTCGCCCCCTCTCCCTCCCGATCAAGTAACAGCTGGATCCCAGAGGGCAGGGCCAGCGAGGCACTGGTGGCCTTACCTGGGGGCCAGCTCCATCACCATCTGGCATGGCCTCAGGGACCAGCAGTGGCCCCTCTGCTGACGCCTTCTTCAGCTTTTTGTTCTTTTTCTCCGTCACTTCGGGAACTTTTCTCTTCTGTTTTGCCATCCTGCAACAGAGAAAGTAAACTGCTAAAGACAAGGAAATAAAAGGCTTAGCTCATATCAGATTTTTTTTTTTTTTGAGACGGAGTTTCGCTCTTGTTACCCAGGCTGGAGTGCAATGGCGCGATCTCGGCTCACGGCAACCTCCGCCTCCTGGGTTCAGGCAATTCTCCTGCCTCAGCCTCCTGAGTAGCTGGGATTACAGGCACGCGCCACCATGCCCAGCTAATTTTTTGTAGTTTTAGTAGAGACGGGGTTTCACCATGTTGACCAGGATGGTCTCGATCTCTTGACCTTGTGATCCACCCGCCTCAGCCTCCCAAAGTGCTGGGATTACAGGCGTGAGCCACCGCGCCTGGCTCGTATCAGATTTTTAAATAAAAAGTAGGACACTCTCCATTAAAAAATAATATTTCAGAAAATAAAGAAAACATATACAAGTTAAAGCAAACTCAAACCCCCAAGTTTCATCACCTACGGATAACCAATTTGACATTTTGGTGTATTTCCTGTCCGTCTTTTTGGTTTTTTTGAGTCAGAGTCTCACTCTGTCACCCCAGCTGGATTGTGGTAGTGAGATCTTGGCTCACTGTCACCTACAGATAATCAATTTGACATTTTGGTGTATTTCCTTTCCGTCTTTTTGGGATTTTTTGAGTCAGGGTCTCACTCTGTCACTCAGGTTGGAGTGTGGTAGCACGATCTTGGCTCACTGCATCCTTGAAATCCCAGGCTCAAGCCATCCTCCTGCCTCAGCCTCCTGAGTAGCTATGACCACAGGCATGTGCCACCATGCCTGGCTAACTTAATTTTTTTGTAGAGACAGGGTCTTGCTATGTTGTCCAGGCTGGTCTCAAACCCTGAGGCTCAAGCGATCCTCTGCTTCAGCCTCCCCAAGTGCTGAGACCACTGCTGTGAGCCACCATGTCTGGCCCCATTAGGTCTTTTTTCTGAGTGTTTTTATTTAACATAGCTGCAATCATACACGGATTATAATTCTGTATTTCTAACTGAACATGAACACAAAGTTTTATTTTATTTTTTTTAATTTTGAAAACATGAACATTTTCTAATAATTGCACGTCTATTTTTCCGAACTATGAAAAGACCAGGGGAAAGCGCGAACCATTTTTGGTGACAGTATCATAATATCCCAAAGGCGAAAATCTGTCTTCTCCCTAATGACTGAATATTTTGAATTGTTTTCACTTTCTCCTATCATGGGCTCACTCATGCTTCCCATCAACTAGAGAAGCCGTGGCGCCACACAGGTGGAGGATGCTGGCCCTGCGCATCACAGGACACCTGGCCACCATAGGTAGAGGGGCTCAAGGACCACCGTGAGTCCAGGATCTCCTCTGAGAGTAAAAGGAGCATGAAGCAGGCCACATATGAGGGTGGATGCGGCATTTGAGGGCATCTGATTAGGCCTCCTTTCCACAGAACAGCAGTATCTAGAACACCACGCACAGCAACAGAGAAGTCCAGGCACGGCGGAACCAGGGTCCTTTGTGGGACTGTGTGATGAGGGAACCAAGAGAGGCAGCTGAGGTCACCAGCCCTGGGAGCCTGTTGGAGGGGCTGGCCCCTGATGGAGGGATGCTAAGGAAGAACCTGGGGTGTGGTGCGGGCAGAGACTGACCAGGCTGCTTCTGGGAGGGAGAAGCAGAAACCCGGCCCACACCTGCTGCTGCGGCAAAGCCTCCTGCAGGCAATGGTGGCAGGACAACAGGAGAGGGAAGAAGCCCCCCGCCCGACCCCAGGCCCCTGTCCCCACCCCCTCACCCACACTCTCCCTACACTTCTCCCCACACAGCTCCCAGTCTCCCCTGCCACCCCTACTGGGTGGAGCCTTAAAAGGATTTGAGAACAGAAAAGTGTCCTGCAGAGCCTGAGACTGTGTGGGCCTCAGAGCTGAGCACAGAGGCGCTATGAAGCCGGGAGACAGGAGCTCAACAGCCAGTGCACCCAGCACACACGCTGTTTCCCCACATAGCCTCCAGCCCAGACATACACCCACAAAGAACCACCAAGAAAGCCAAATCCCACCCCAAAATTAAAATAGTCCAGGCACAGTGGCTCACGCCTGTCATCCCAGCATTCTGGAAGGCTGAGGTGGGCAGATCGCTTGAGCACAGGAGTTTGAGACTAGCCTGGCAACATAGCGAGACTCCATGTCTACAAAATATTTTTTAAAAATTGGCCATGCATGGCGATGCACACCTGTAGTCCCAGCTACTCAGGAGGTGGAGGTGGGAGGATTGCTTGAGCCCAGGAGTTGAGGCTGCAGTGAGCCATGACTGCACCACTGCACTCCAGCCTGGGCAAAAGAGTGAGACTTTGTGTTTAAAAAAAGAAGAATAAGAGTAAAGCAAGAAAGGTTATGACAGAGCAGCAGTTTTAAAAGGATGATCATTATGGAAAGAGCTTGGCAGCACTAAGCCCACCTAGAGCCCAGATGCGGGTCTAAACACCACTCACTGTGAGAAAGAGTCAGGGGAGGGCAAGGAGGGCCTGGAATGCCAGGTGAGGCCAGAAACCAAGGAGAAAGTCGAAAAGCAAAGGGCACAGCCTGCACAAGGGCTCCCTCCATCCTACCCAGGGCTGCCACTGGTAACAACACACTGAAAGAATATTACTATTGTGGAATCAGAAAACTCCAAGCCTCTTATTCTTTAATTGAGCCTTATCTTTAAAAAGCATCAGAAGCCAGAGGCCGCAGATTTCAATTAGCTATATAATAAGAAATCTTGGAAGAATGAGAGACTGTTGACACAGGGGCTCTGAAAAGACAAAAGACCATGCCAGCCAATTACTTTGTGAGAGAAAGAAGAAAAGTTCAGCAAATATTTACATACCCATTACTATAAAAGTTAAGTCAAATCTATTTTCATTCTGTAAGTTATCACTTAAAAACTTAATCACTATGTCTATTTGCTAAAAAGGGATAAAAGACTTTTCTATATTATGGAAAGGTTTCTTTTAAGACTTCCAAGGGAAAGTGACTCATATCTTTGAGATAATGAATGTTTGTCGTGGAAAATGACATTTACTTTCATTTACTGTCAACTGATTTTCAACAAGGCTATCATGACAATTCAGTGGGAAAGACAAATGGTGCTAGGACAACTGGCTACCAACATACAAAAGAATGGATTCAAAGCCCTACCTCACACTATAGACAAAATTAACTCAAAATAAATCAGAGTTCTAAATGGAAGAGCTAAAACTATAAAATTACTAGAAGAAAAAATAGGAGTAAATCTTCATGACCTTGGATTAGGCAATGGCCTCGTATATGGCACTAAAAATAAGCAGCAAAAGACAGAGGAAAAATGAGATAATAAATTGGACTACAACAAAATAAAAAATTTTTGTGCTGCAGGCTGGGTGTGGAGGCTCACACCCTCCTTTGGGAGGCTGAGGTGGGAGGATCATGAGGTCAGGAGATTGAGACCATCCTGGCTAACACAGTGAAACCGTCTCCAATAAAAACACAAAAAATTAGCTGGGTGTGGTGGCACGTACTTGTAATCCCAACTACTTGGGAGGCTGAGGCAGGAGAACTGCTTGAACCTGGGAGGCAGAAGTTGCATTAAGCTGAGATCATGCCACTGCACTCCAGCCTGGGTGACAGAGCAAGACTCCGTCTCAAAAAAAACCAAAACAACTTTTGTGCTGCAAAGGATGCCAGCAAGAACGTAAACAGGCCAGGTGCAGTGGCTCATGCCTGTAATCCCAGCACTTTGGAAGGCCAAAGCAGGAGGAGCGTTTGAGGCCAGGAGTTCCACACCAGTCCTGGCCACATAGCGAGACCACATCTCTACAAAAAATGAAGCAGAAAGAAAACCCACGCCGTGCGTGGTGGCTCATGCCTGTAATCCCAACAGTTTGGGAGTATGAGGTATGAGGACTGCTTGAACCCAGGAGTTCAAGATCAGCCTGGGCAACATAGCGAGACTTCGTCTCTACAAAAAAATACAAAAAATAGCCAGGCATGGTGATACACATGTAGTGCCAGCTACCTGGGAGGCTGAAGTGGGAGGATGACCTGAGCTCAGTAAGTCCAGGTTATAATAAGCCATGATCATGCCACTGCATCCCAGCCTGGGCAACAGAGTGGGATCCTGTCTAAATAAAAAGAAATAAAGTTCCTCTCCACACAGTTGAGAAGACCAGTCGGCCTGGGTAGCCTGCACTGAAGATGTCAGGAAAACTCCGTACTGACACTGGTTTGGAACCAGACACCGCAATGAAAAAAGTAGAGACGCTGTGAAAGCAAGCCGAGAAGAAAGAGAAAAAAGAGGAGCCAAAATCTAGTAGGACTGAAGAGACAGCAGAAGAGGAAGAAACTGTCTCCCCCAAAGCTAAACAAGTTAAAAAGAGAGCAGAGCCTTCTGAAGTTGACATGAATTCTCCTAAATCCAAAAAGGCAAAAAAGAAAGGAGCCATCTGAAGATGACATTTCTCCTAAAACCAAGAGTTTGAGAGAAATAAAAAGGAGCCCATTGAAAAGAAAGTGGTTTCTTCTAAAACCAAACAAGTGATTAAAAAATGAGGAGCCTTCTGAGGAATAAATTGATGCTCCTAAGCCCAAGAAGATAAAGAAATAAAAGGAACTGAATGGAAAAACTAGAGAGAAATCCAAACTGGAGAATGGATTTCCTCATTCTGAACCTCACTGTAACCCCAGTGAAGCTGCCAGTGAAGAAAGTAACAGTGAAATAGGGCAGGAAATACCCGTGGTATTTCCGAAGGCGACTTCTCCAATTTTCCCATATCTGAAGAAACTAGTAAGCTTCTCAAAGGCCCAGGAGTGACCTTCCTACTTCCTGTACAAGCAAAGCCTTCTGTTATGTTTACAGCGGGAAGGACTTAATTGCACGGGTGCAGACAGGAACTGGGGAGACATTTTCCTTCACCATCCCTTTGACTGAGAAACTTCATGGGGAACTGCAGGGCAAGAAGAGAGGCGTCTCCCTCAGGGGCTGGTTCTTGCACCTAC